GTTATCAAGTAGTACAGGAGAGCCGCACAAGAGAAATGCCAATAGTTGTTTCCTCAAGGAGTACTATCCCACTAGTGGAAAATGAAGGATCATCAGCAATGAATGCAGTGGGGCTAATCCCATGGCCCAATTAAGAATGGTCACCTGTAGCAAGCAACACAACAATATAGGCAGGTTATATAGCTGATCCCATGGAAATCTTGAATAAATTAAACAGGCTTACTGATCGTTTCTTTCATAAACGTGTAAAGACTGATTCACGACTTTAAATATATTCATACAAATCTCAGAAAAAAAAGGAGGGTCAGTTGGGGTTCATATCTTGAAACTAGTGTCAGGTCAACTAATGCTATGAAATAGCAAAGGAGTGTGTCTCATGGCTTTTTATCTAAGCCTGTACCTAAGAAGAAAAATGTAGATCACTCAAAAAAAAAAAAAAGTAAATCTCGGGTAAAAGATCCTCAATCACAAACAAATAAAATTAGAAGAAGAGCCATCTGCAGGTGCAACACAGGGCAGGTGCGATAGAACATACATGTGGAGAAGAGATAACTGAAACATCTGAATCTTAAATAGTGAAAAGAGGAGACTGCTGAGTAGAAGACATATGAGCCAGGGGATTTGCCTCAATATAAAAAATATATCTAGAAACAGTTGATAGGTAGGATGATGAGCTAGTCACAAATGTCCCTTGAGAGAACTTGGCAGAGAAAGGGTGCAAAGTTTAGCAAAGGAACTTACTTGAGGAGCTGGTGCATTAGCAAGGGCACCACCGAATGAGTTAGCAAATGAAGCAGTGGAACCTGTCACCGAAAAATTAAAGGTACACGATTCATATTCTATCTCAGAGGAATTAGCTCTTTCCTTTGGTTAGATTAGAAAAATATTTCCACTGTTGTCATAATCTGGAAAAATGATTGCCAGTGGATTTGGTATCAAAAGTTTGGTGCCTCTGGAATAATTTTTTATTGGTTCCTTAGCTATGATTTTTCAAAAATTTACCAAAGACAAGGTAGAAATACCCGGCTATTTAATTCTCATTTATAAAATTTGCTGCCACCCAAAAAGACCCACTTTTCTATTTTTATATATATTTATATTATATATATATTATATATAGTATAATTATATATATATATTATATATATATATAATATATATATATATATATATCCTATTTCTAATATATATTAGTTATTATATTATATTATTTAAAAAAACCAACAAAAAGAAAAAGTATTAAAAAAGGAAAAAAAAAAAAAAAACAAACCTATAGTAATTCTATATATATACATTAAACTATTATATAAATATATTATTAAAATTAAAAAAAAAAAAAAAGCAAAAAAGAAAGAAAAAAACGAACCTGTATACAACGGCCAACCAAATTGGCCAAAGCAAAATTGCAAGAATGGCAAAGGTTGAGCCTCAAAAATTGAAATCGCTTATTAAAAGGGAACAAATTTTTTTTTGTCAAGAAGAAGAAGTTAGATGAAGAGTGGTGGCGGTGCAAACCTGAAGAGAAAAGTGAATTGCCGTTAGGGTTGTTTTATTTATTTGGTGGGTTTCTTGTTTATTTGATTTAGAATATATTAAAAAAAAAAAAAAAAGCAAGAAAAGAAAGAAAAAAACGAACCTGTATACAACGGCCAAATTGGCCAAAGCAAAATTGCAAGAATGGCAAAGGTTGAGCCTCAAAATTGGAAAGTCGCTTATTAAAAGGGACAAATTTTTTTTGTCAAGAAGAAGAAGTTAATGAAGAGTGGTGGCGGTGCAAACCTGAAAGAGAAAAGTGAATGCCGTGTTAGGGTTGTTTTATTTATTTGTGGGTTTCTTGTTTATTTGTTTAGAATGATATTTTTAATTTTTGCGTTTTTTTGGGTTAGAATTTTCAAAATAGGCTAATATATTAAGCATGGTCTATTTGGTCAACTTACTATGGAGGCAATTGTTGGACCATTTTGTGATTTTTTAGAATTAGGGTTATTATGCATTTTGGGCTTGGAGTTTATTGGGACTCAGTTAATATTATTTTGAATTATTAATTGAATAATTAATTTTATTTATTAATTAATTAATTAAAAGAAAGAGATGAAGACGTGATATGTAGTTGAGCAAGCATTTATCAAGCGGTTGTTCACGTATAGGAAGTTAGAACACCAAAGGAACTAATGGGAACGTGTGTCAGTTGATCTTTTTGGTAATCACCTGTGAAGCTTATAAGTGGAACAAGAGAACCCCAACAAGCAACCAAATTCTCTGACGAATTCAACAATCAAATCAAACTCTCCGACGAGTCAAGCAGTTTTATCTTCGAAGCCTTGTTCTTATTTTTTCTAAGTACTGTCTATTTACATTTCTTATAATTATAAGCTCTTTTTCAATACAATCAATCAAATTCAATTTACTTTTCAAGTGATCAAACTATTTTTTACAATTTCATCTGCCAATTTTAATTTAATCGCATAATGGTGAAGCGTATACTAAGGAAACAAACCCATAGTCTAGAAGTCAGATCGAGCGCACTTTAATTTTCAGTTGGTGTACTTTATACACCCGGCATGCCCGTAGTTAATTCACAACCTAAGCTGTCAACCAGTGGATTAGTTGCTCTTTTTCAAAAAAGAACCAACACAAGTAAATACGGTGTGTACATTTATATTGTATTGTATCAATTCAAACAGAATCGAGAGTCATATCTTATCTCCAAAAGTACTGACTGTGTGGAAAATTGATAGAGATATTCTCAGCAATAAACAATAGATCAAAAATGGAAATCAACATGCCTTATGAATAAAAACAAAACCATGAAACAATACCAATGATGAGAAGAATGACAGTAAAAAGAAAAAGAACGATAAGAAAATACTAGACGGCAACAAAAATGAGAAAGAACCATCAGAAAATAATGAGGGCTGAAAAAATAGCAGAAGAAAAATATTATTAACATACTAAAAAAACAAAAGAAACAATGATAAAAATAGGAAATTAATATAAAAGGAAACACTAACATATTAAAACACTGAAATATAAAATTAATATAAAAAGGAACACTAACATATTAAAACATTAAAATATTAATAAATTAATTCCCTACTAATAAAATGAGGGCACAATAGTAAAAGTATATCACAAATAACAATAATTTAAATCTTAATCAAACTGACATTCTATAAAAGTAAGTTTCAAAAAGTGACATTTACTTTAATTTCTCAAAATAATACTCCCTCCATCCTATTTGTTAGCGTGGTTGACAAAACGATATTAAGAATTTAGTCAATGAAAATTTATTTTGCCCTTTTTTACCCATAACTCATTAAGATATTAATAAAAGTCATTCATTTAATAAACAATCATAAAAGTTACTTTGGAAAAATTTAAATAACAAATTTAGCAACCTTGCAAATATTTTGGAACGTCCCAAAAAGAAATAACAAGCAAACAAAATGGGACGGAAGGAGTATTATATTTTATAATAATTAATTAATTCTTTGTTTGATACTAAATTTAGTCATTTTTTATTCTTTTTATAAAAGTTATTTAGTATTTATAAATTCCTATATTTTCAATCGTATTTTAAAATATATATTTATTCGATTAAACCATATTGAATTATGTCGAATCCTCTAATTTAGTGAATCCCTATCATGATTGATTTAATGAACATTGGTTATGACCATGTGTGATTTACAATTAGCTCTCAATAGCTATTATTGCCTAGTGCAAAAGAATAACTAAGACGTTGTTAGAAATAGAGGTGTGTATGAGTCCCATTGTGACGAAATTATATAATTTTCAATTTCATCCTAAAATATTAGGATAAAAAAATAGGATTTTATTCAAGTTCCAATAGATACATATTTGCGTCTCGTCTCGTCTCCACCCAATTTTTGCAATAGGATAAGATGAAAATTGGATCTGTGGGAAGGGTCGGAATGGGTCACATTAGAAATTAATCAAGATATCCTATAAGTTTACTAAATTATTATTTTCACAAAAAAAATATAAAATTACTACACTCATCCCTTGCAATCAAATAAAATTCACAAATACAAATCTGAGTTAAAAAAATCGGATAAATCAAATAATTAATTCAATCAATGATGAATTACTACTAAAGTCATAATATAAGATTGGTTAGTTGTTACTTTCTAGTTAATGAGAGCATTAAATATAATAATTTAAAAACGATGTACAATTTAATTTCAAATGTTTTTTTTATGAATTTTTGCTCATCATCTTTTTTTATTTTTATTACCTTTAAACTGATTTAAATTTTTTGTACATACTTGATTTAATCCTAAATATCATATAAAAATAGTGTTCAGCATAACTAATAGTTTAGTAATCAAATTAATTACAATTAATATTTTTCTCTTTATTGATTAATATTTTTTTAAGTAAAAAAATTATTTAAAAAGATTTACGTAATATCTATAGTAAAATAATAAAAGAAAATTTTAAATTGAAAAATATGTTTAATTAACCGATTCATTTTATGTTTAGAATAGTGCATATTAATTTTTTATATGATTATCATCTTAATAAATAATTGGTGTCAGGATGAAGATATAATCTGAAATTAAAAAAAAAAAAACCAAAATACTTGATTTTTTTGGATGGAATTAGGTCGGTACAAATCGGTTTTATGAAAGAATCAATTTGGTCTCGATATTATTTTCAAGATGACATTCGGAATGGGAGTATTAAATTAATATCGTTTTAATTTTTTTCAAAATTGTTTTGAAAAAATGGGTCTAGTTGGCAAACAACTTGTTAAAGCACCACGCCTTAAAGAACTTATATATAATGGCCATATGGCGCAAAAATAAATAAACACGTGAAAAATAGAAAAATAAAAATAAAACAACCGCCAATAAAAATCAACTTTTGGTTCTAGACGAGCCCAGATTGGTCCAATAAAATCCATTTGTGATCTAACTACGTCCTCGACACGTAACCCAACAAATCTTTCTCAACAGAGAAGAGAGAACTCCTTCCCCTCCAAGTTAATTGATTTTATTTTCAATTTTCCAAATTTCTAGTTTTAAACGAATGTCGTGATCTTAGAAACCTCCACCGTCACAGTCTCATATCATTTCTTCTTCGTTGCCGTCTCGTATTAACATCGATTTACAGCTTCTAGACATATATTTGGAAAAGTCGTTAGACATTTCCTTCCTTCAATAACTTAAACAGAAAGTTCTAGAGAGAAGACTATGGCCCCCTTAATCAATTATAGAATCATTTTCGTTTTACAGAGAGATTAATTAGAGGACAAAGGGATTGAGAGAGGAAGAGAAAGGCAATGGGGCCAGGAGCAGCGTTGACTATGGCGGCAAAACAAGCAGAGGAATTGAGAAAACATGGAAACACTTATTTCGGCAAAAACCGATTTGGTGCTGCAATCGATGCTTACACTGAGGTAATAATTTAAAACCTAATTAGTTTATTTAGGGATTTGTGAAGTTTTCGGTTTTCATTTCTTTCATTGATAGTTTACTTTCTGTTGTCGAAAAGCTAGGCAATTACTCTATGCCCTAATGTTCCTGTGTATTGGACGAATCGGGCTCTCTGTCATCGGAAACGGAAGTATGTACGAGCGCTGACCTCTTTTTTTTTTACAATTGTTCTCTCTCTCTCTCTCTCTTGCCTTTAACTTGTTTTTTGTGGTTTTGATATGGGGATTCAGTGATTGGGCGAAAGTTGAAGAGGATTGTCGCAAAGCTATTCAACTTGACAGTAATTCTTTCAAGGTGATTGCTGTTTTCAGCAGTTTTGTTTTGAGTTCCTTTCTTTTGTGAATTTTGAGTTTTGGAATGGAACTTTTTGGTCAAGAATGCATGAATTGTTATCTTTTAACAAAGCAATGGTTTGAGATACTTTGGTTGCTTGCTGTGTGAAAGGTTTATGCTACTCTCAATCATTCACACAGTGAGCAAGTTAAGCATGATGACCACGGGTAGAGGAGATCATTCATTTTATATCATGTAATTCATATTCATACAGAAATACACATTGCCAGATATATTTGTTTAAAATAAAGTAGGCTTTGAGATGGCGCTAGGTTCTTTCTTCATGACTGTGGAGGTGTTAAAGTTCAACATATGCACTTTGACTTTTGTTTTTGTGTTGTTTCATTGAGCTTTTCTTTTGATAACTAAAGGAAATTAAGTATAAGAGGAAATACAGAAAAGGGCAGTGCCCCAGCTGTACTAGGATAAGCAGCAAATAAACTGTTAGAAAGAAGAAGCAAATATGAACACATGAATTGAATTGGATGAGATGATGGTGACTGGAGAGAATTAGCAAGAAGAGAGAGGAGAATCTTCCAGAAAATGTGAATAAGAAAAGGAGAAACAGACTATCATTGCTTATTGTGGAGGAAGTATATACTTGTAAGACACATATGCTCTACCTATTTTGCCATTTTTCAACTTAAACTCCTTATGCAGTAATGGATAAAGGCATCCTTTCATGTAGGTCTGAAAAATAGTCAGCATTTTACTGCTAGCATCAAGATATCAGTAGTTTACATCCAGCATTTTTTGTCAGACTCTTTTTAATTTCCCATATTTGTTCAGCTTATGATTAAAAGATATACTGCTTCAAATTAATATTTGACATAGCAATTAACCGTAACTAAAGTTACTTATGTATGGTCAGTACAAATGTGCATGTGTTGTTTTTTGTAAATGTACTGATAAAATTTGTTATGATTGCATGAAGTTCAAGCTTGTTTTGCCATGTGACAGGCCCACTATATGTTAGGACTTGCATTACTACAGAAGGACAACTTATCTGAAGGGGTGAAGGAATTGCAGAAGGTACAGAATTATTTTTATCTTGAATTGTTCTTGGAATTCTTTCTGGCATCAGACTGGTGGTGTAAGTTGCACGTGAATGTTTGTTTTCCTTTAGGCTTTGGAATCCTATGCAAAGCGAATTACTATACTATGATGCTAGACTTCTTCATGCATTTGATTTGCTGTGAACTCATTCGGTAAGCGTTTGCATTAGTTGCTTGAATTATAGATGAGTAATCCATTCTAATTGATTTTTCTTGTAATTTATTATTACATGTAAGATATTGCACCCAATTTATTTCTACCACAATTTTGTGCATTTTTCTTTTCCTATTTGATAGTATCAGTTTTTTAACAAAATCATTGTCCTCGATGCGTTCTCGATTTCTGAAATGAATAGCTATTTGAACTGTTCTCATTGTCTTCCTGGTTTTAAACTTTTTAGTGCACAAACTAGTATTCTTGTATTGGTAGTTCCTTATCATGGCTTTGCTTTTTTTTTTTTTTTTTTTTTTTTTTTTTTTTTTTTTTTTTTGGGCTTTCTTTTTTTTTTTTTTTTTTTTTTTTTTTTTTTATTCTTTCTTTTTCTTAAAGGGCTTCTTTAGCTATCATATTTTTAGTAGATTAAAAGATTAGTTATTAAGTGTAAACAGCTTTAAATTTCCCCATAACAAGGGTGGAAAGCTGGCAATTTAAATTATGGGGGGAAAAGGCTTTATATCAAAACCAAGAGGGGAAAAAAATGGTTAAGGTTGATAGAAATATAGCAGGCTTTTTTTTTTTTTTTTTTTTTTTTTTTTTATCTTTCTTTTTCTAGGGCTTCTTTAGCTATCATATTTTTCAGTAGATTAAAAGGATTAGTTATAAGTGTTAACAGCTAAATTTGCCCCATACAAGGGTGAAGCTGGCAATTTAAATTATGGGGGGAAAGGCTTTTAATATCAAAACCAAGAGGGAAAAATGGTTAAGGTTGATAGAAATATAGCAGGTCCTAGGTTTGAACTTTGAACCCCAGGACATGTACTGCAATATTATTTTATTTCTAAGAATTGCTTCCCTTCCGTTAACATGGCTTTGCCATTGATCCAATACAAACTGCATTTGGTATGTCTACATCGACATTCTAATTGGCTTGTTAGTTTATAAATGAGTTAGTTTGCAAATGTAAACAAGTTGAGCTTAGGTAATTCACAGTGAACTTTGTGGGTAAGTTTGACTTGTATCGTTTGTCTTAACTAGTAAGTTGAAACAAGATTTTATTACTTGGAAAATAGTTCATGAATGGTTTTGTTCATTTTCAACTTTAAACCCCAGTTGAAACTCCTTAAATTTGTTTATCATAGTCTTTATGATTGTCAGACAAATCTTTCTTCACAAATAGTAAACATCCTATACCAAATATTCCATGTAAAATTGACTGTGATTCTTGTAAATGAGAGAATGCAACTTGCATGCTGGTGATGGTACTTATTTGGCTTATGCATGTGCAATGAATTGTTAGTGTTGACCATGTTGACAACCGCAGACCAATCAAAAGCTTAAGCATATAGGGGAACTTATCAGCATCCAAATATCAGTGAAAGGAAAAAAAAAATATAAAGTTTGAATCTTAACAAAAGAAGATAATTCTCCAAATACTCATATCCAGTACCATCGGGACGTGATGAATTGTGAGTATTAAGTTCCAAAAGGTCTTATTTTGTCTATTATTGAAAACATATAAAAAATGTGATTCCAACAAATAACTGATCGTCTAATGGAAAAAAAGCTGATGATGGGTGCATATGAAGGCTAGATAGACAAATTAGCGATTAAGTTGTCATTGTCCTTCAGATTTTTTTATTGATTTGTTATTTGTTTTAGCCTCAGCTTCAGCTTATGGATTTCAGTTGGCCATTAACATTCTACGATAACAATTGAATTTGTTATGAATACTCTTTCCCATTTTTGTTTTATCATTTTTAGAACTCTTAGTTTATTGACGGATAAGGACAGTGGTAAATAATATAAAAGTTGCACATAGTCCACAAGCTAGCTTATAAATAGAAGATGACAGCAGTTTCGATGAGAATATGAGATGCTTTACCTACGCGTGTATATTTCATCTAATATTTTCTGAAGTGGAATAGATTTTGCGACAAGAAATATCTTATGACATCCATACAAGAAGGTGCTAAATGTGTACAATAGTTTAATGTTGATATGTGCTCCAGCTACTTCAGCACAGAAAAATAGCTGACCATTATTAGTTATTCAACTATTCAGTAATATGTGCTTATGTGGCAGGCAACAGGATGGCTTTTTCCTACTCATGAAAAAAAAAAAAACACACACTTAACCAATTTTTATAGACATCCTAAAAGTCATTCAACCACAGCTTATATAGCATGGTGAATGTACAAGATTCTTTACTCACTGGGGAAAATATTTTGGCTTTTGAATATGGGCAGTGTGTTTGGAGTAGGTTTTCGCTATTGGAAGGCTGACAATATCGTTCTTTTAGGACCCTCTACGTTCTAGCTATGGAAGAGATGAATGCTGCTTTCCAATAATGATAGTGGAAAAATCATGAACTTTAGCATGCTGGAATTTAAGATCATGAACTGTAGCATCTGAAGCAACAGTAAATCTGATACGTGATGACACATTTACAAAGAACCAATCTGGTGTAACAGTGATTGCTATTTGTGAATAAACAGGTTTTCAATAATCTTAGATTTGCTAGTATTACATAGTGCCAGCTAGATTTTGTTGTTTATATTGAAGATTTGATGCAAAGCATCAGGTTCTTACAAGGAACTGATTGCTTTCTTTTGCAGGCTCTGGATCTTGGTAGGGGTGCAGGTCCAAAGGGTTATATGGTGGAAGAGATCTGGCAAGAGCTAGCAAAATCAAAATACAAGGAGTGGGAGCAAGCATCTACTAAGCGATCATGGGAACTACAAAACTTGAAGTATGTAATCCCAGTGAGTTTAGTGCCTGTTGTTGGAAAAGATTTCTGCTGTTCTGAGTAGTTAGAAAATTAGTTGCTGGCTTATCATGCTGTTTTCCACTCACATGAGTTACTCTTGTTCCTCTCAGAGAAGCCTGTGAGAATGCTCTCAAGGAAAAACATTTCCTCGATGACTTTCAAACAGAAGGATTTTTAGATGAAACATTTGCTTCCCATGTGAAACAGTTGGAGGATTTAGGACAAGTGTTTGAGAAAGCTGCAGAAGATGACACGCCAACTGAGGTAGTTTCTGGGTTTGTTTGTTTAATATATTCCGCTTTGTTATTAGCTGTTTTATTGAACTGAAAGTTTTCAGGTGCCGGATTACCTATGTTGTAAAATTACGCTTGATATTTTCCGTGATCCTGTCATTACTCCAAGTGGAATTTCATATGAGAGAGCAGTAATCCTTGACCATCTTCAGAAGGTATCTTATTGTTTCTTTTAATTGAATGTACTGTAGGTGGGGAAAAAAAAAAATCCACAATTAACAAAACCGTTAAAACTGGGTAGGATTGCTTTGAAAAAGTGACGCCAAACTATCCAATCCAAACGTTTGCTAACCTTTTGCGTTTGTTTGCTTTCTTTATCTGCATTAATCAACCGATAAAACCGTGTAGGATTGGTTTGAAAAGTCACTCCAAACATTGTCTAGCCCCATGCCTTTTGTGTGCTTGTATTTATTTGCATTGATCAATTGAATTGAAATCAATTTAGGTAGGGAAGTTTGATCCGGTTACACGAGAACCCCTTGATCCGTCTCAGCTAATTCCTAACTTGGCGATAAAGGAAGCAGTCCAAGCATATCTTGATAAACATGGTTGGGCTTACAAGATGGAACTAAATTGATTGTTTTTGATAACTTCATATTTTGAGTGTGAGGGACTAAATGGTTATAGTGCAGACCTGATTCTCTCAGAACTTAACTTTTGGTAGCAGTATCTCAAGTGTGCAGCATCGATCATGTCTGATAATGTATTTTTGTGCATGTGCTTCAAAGTGTGTTGTTTGATGCCCCAACTGTATGATCTTTTGAATTTGTACATATATTATGCTCTAAATTATTGCCTGCTGCTTGTACATAAATTTACTGCAGCCTATTTTATCAGGGTAATATTTTACCTTGCTCTCCTCATCCTCAGATTACTCGTAAATTTTGATAAAATATAATATAATGCAATTAAATTAGTATAAAAATAGAGATAAAAGGCATTATATCTATAACGAAGAATCCAATTACAAATGCTTATCAGAAAAAAAAAGGTATGATAGTCTAATCGTAAGGTGATCACATAATTAGTTAGTCAATTTGTATAGCAGTTGATTTTATATTAATTATATTTAATAAGCATCATGATTTTTATTGATCAATGTATAAATTCACTATTGAATTTTATGTAAAAAGTTTTATAGTATTTTTTATTTTTACTTTGATCTATTGAACAGTTACACAAATAAAATTGAACATATTAAATATTACACAAATAAAATTGAACATATTAAATATTTTAATTTGTAAAATTATTATATTGAATATTCGAATTTATAAAAATAAATCAATTAAATATTTATTGGACAGTTAAAAAATATAAAAATTATTATTCTGAAAATTAAATTAACTATACTGAAATGAATATTTGGCATATAATACCATAAACAAAAAAAAAAAAAAAAAGAATATTATCGTTGAAAATTTAAAAACTTATACTGAAATGAATATTTTGGGCATTAAGAATTACCATAAAAAAAAAAAAAAAAAAAAAAAAAAAAAAAAAGTGTTATTGTTAATATAAAAGAGGTACAATATTTATCAAAATTCACAACTTATAGAGTATGATAGATATGTCTCGCAAAATTTGAAATGTTAATAAAAATTTTTTTTTAAGTATATAGATAAATTTATACATCTAAGCATTTTAAGGGTAAGCTTTGTCTGTTCCCTAAAGAATAATAGTACAAGTGTGTGGTGTCACCACATCGACAGGAACAAAATATCCCAATCCGTACTGGCTATTAAAAATTGTGGATCAAAGTTTTGTAGAGGCCCATTTGGTCATTTCATTTTTATTAGTGGGTTCGTTGGCAATGGCAACTGATAATAACCCATGATTTTATCAAATCCATAATTTGAGCATCTCAGCAAAAGTGACATTACATTTCACAAGCAAATAATAAGACAATAAAATTTATTTAGCTTGACCCTTCAGTATTTTTTATTTATTCTGAGATTTAATAAACTGAAAGAATATTATAAATTATAATACGAATAGTGTTTTATTTTAGTCATTAAATTAGTGAAAAATTTTGCAGTGGAAAAATTTCAAACCTAAACTTTTCACTCTCCATATAAGTGAGAGGACTAATCAAATATTGACAATTGGCTCTTCAACATGGATAAGTTCTTTTATTTTTTTTTTTTTTTTGCCTCTTTTTTGTTGTTAGAAATGTGTCCAAAGTTAATGATGCCAAGGAGTCTCTTTTAATCAATTCATAAAGGACATCATCCAATGTGGACAACTCTACAATAAATAAGACATTTTTACTCCCCTATATTATCAGTACTCCCTTGGTGGGCACTATTTTTTTTATTTTCATACCGATTAAAAAATTAGCAATTATCATGATTAAAGGATAATTTTATTTATATAATTTTTATATTATGCTCATTTTAAATAATATATGAGCAATTATTATATTAAAATAATAATAAATAAAATAATAAATAAAAATTAATAAGAGTTATTGAAAAAAAAATAAAATTTAATAAAGATATAGTAGACAATTTAAGAATTAACTATGACGTAGAAAAGGAAAAGAGACTATATTTTGAAACAAATCAAAAATTTAATTATCATTAATTTATCAGAAAAAAAAAAAACATATGTTATAAAAATTTATAGGTTATCTTAGTTTTTCTCTTTGCTAAAGTAAATTCATATTCTAACATAAGTGGTCATATAGAGGTAGACATAAATTTATAATGTTCACGATTTGTTTTTTTTTTTTTTTTTTTTTTTTTTTTTTTTTTTTTTTTCTTGGCTCTTGACAAACAGTCTTATTTTTTTTTTTTTTTTTTTTTTTTTTTTTTTTTTTTTTTTTTGGCTTGACAAACAGTCTTATTGATAATTTTTGCTTTGTCGAATGCAATGATTTTGCTCTGTCGGTCCAAGATTTCACCTCCTGATTGTACTTTGTGGACCATTCTCCAATTTGTTTATTTTTCTCCCAATCAAGAGGTATTTTTATTTTTTTATTTTTTATTTCGTTTGAGATGGAAATTACATACAGGAATTTTATTTATTTTTTATTTCTACTTAATAATGTTTCGAGTTTGTTCTGTGTTTCTACATAAATGCTTCTTACATTTTGAATCCTTAACTTTACTAAATTAAAGCATTTTTTACCATTCAGATATTTCCTCACGGGTTACATAGTAAATTGTATTATCAGTTATCAAATTATATATATATATGACATGATTTATTTTTCATAAACTTGAAGAAAATAAAACCCTAACAATGGAAAGTAATAGAATGATTCAAATAGTTCATATTTTATATTATGCCTTCTTATTGTTTTTTATGATTTATATAATTAATTTTTCCGTTAAGAAAGCAAGTCTCATTTCTTTTTTATGGGAGTTGTGTTGAGCGGATCTTATTTCCATAGTAATTATTTTTTCATCGTATTTTTCTTAAATCGTATGATTTCTTAATTCATACTTTCAATTAGAATGTTATATTATTTGAAATACTTCTTATCACATATTTCCTTTGTGCATTTTATGTGATTTTAGGTTTTTTACATGGTGATTAAAAATAATTAAATCATCTAATTTATAATAATATTTTTTAAATTTTTATAATTGCCATCTATTCATTTTATAATAGAATAATAAACTAATTGCCCTCTATTAATTTTTATAATTAAAGATAGAAGTTTAGTAGATATAGCTAGATAAAAGAAAAAGTTGAAATAAAATATATTATCTTAATTTTTTAAAAATATCATATAAATTAAATAAAAAAAATTAAAAAGTACAAAAAAGAGGATATCAAATCGATGACAAATATATAGAATTCAATTACAGAATAATTATTGTTGAACATAAAAATCCGAAGAAAAGTTAAAATCATAGAATAGAAATGGCCATGCTATTGGTCATTTCATAATGTCTATTCAATAGACCCATCACATTTATTTGTTCAAAATTAGGGTGGTGTATCTCCTTTATCATGGCTTTGGTCTATCTTTGCAAAATTTTTCTCCTCTTTTAGAATCCCAAAAAAAAAAAAAAAAATGGTCTATCTTTGCCAAATAATTTTTCTCCTCTTTTAGAATCCCAAAAAAAAAAAAAAAAAGTTCAATCTTTCTTTCCCACCGTTAAAACCAAAAATTAAATTAACAATGAAATGGGTACGGATCACACCTTCCTCAGTATTTCATGTCGCTTCCAATATTCACTTGTACCTTCTCAACAAAAAAAAAAAAAAAAAAGTCAATCTTTCTTTCCCACCGTTAAAACCAAAATTTAAATAAACAATGAATGGGACGGACACACCTTCCTCATATCATGTCGCTTCCAATTATTCACTTGTACCTTCTCACAATAATTCACATTCCTTAATCATATGACACCGTTAATCATTCTCTTTCCCCGGCTTATAATGAGTATATTTTTTATATTCATTTTGAAAAAACAATATATATATATATATATATAGACTTAAATTTCTTATAAAAATAAATTTTAATTATTTCTAATCAATGCATTTAAATAATAGTTATCTAAACGGATTTATTTGATAACGGGAGAAGTTGGATCAGAAGTTAAACTTTTTAAAGAATACGACGAATTGATTTTCATTATACTCTTGAATCTCTAAAAATATAATGCTCTACTTCTCTTAAATATGAAAAATTATTTATTTATAGAGAAATAAGAAGCTGTAACATTTTTGGAAGAGTAATATTTATTTATATTTCCTGAGAGATAACATTTTGTGAAAAATAAAGTTACGAGAAAATAAGCCATTTTAGATCAAACAAATTATAAAAACCAAATGATTATTGTTATTGTTGTAAAGACATGTGAAGCAAATATTCTTCAAAGTGAAAACAGAGGCTTAGCAATCAAAGAGCCGACGCAGGTTCTTTGGATTGTTGTGGGCTTAGTTAAGCCATCCATCTGCAATTCCACATGGTAGACCCATTTCTTTTCTGTTCTTCATTTTGTTTTCATATTCCAAATCATTGTTAGTTGATTCACTATTACTATTGTTACATTCTTTTTGGTAATGCCTCTATTTGTCCAAGATTGAAGTTCCAACTAAAATTCCTGAAGAATTCCTAATTTTTGAATCTTAAAATGGTGGATTTGATAGTTTGAGCATACCATTTGAATTGGTGGTTTTGAATGCCAGGAAATGGATTTCATGTGAAATTTTTACTGCCATTGCCATGTCAATCATAAATGTCAGTTTCAGCCTTCTTTTTCACAAGACTTTGAATTGTCATTCAAATCATTATTAAATTACAATTTCAATCTCCAACAGAAATGTCTGCTTCAAATCACATTTTTATTTTTATACCCTCTTTCTTCTATGCTCTCTTTTCTTTTTTATTTACCTTTGTTTAATCCATTTTGTTATCAATCATTTTCTCAATCGAATATCATTTTCAAACCATATTAATTAACTTTTCCTAATCTAGATGGAAAATAAAACCAAACTTATCTTCCAAAATGGAGTAAAAATATTAAGATTTGTTAAAAAAAAAAAAAAAACAGCCAATGGCTGCTTTGGTTGTTTAACTCTTCACGGAAAACATCTTTGACACAATTTGTACCATACCAATATGAGTTAAAAAGACTATCATGCCCTTATAAAACTTTTTAGCAGTTGTCACTTGTGCCATTTAGCAAAGCTCAACTCTTTATTAGCAATAAAAAAACATAATTGCCTCTTTAATTGAATTATAAGAACAAAGAATCCCTCTTCTACCACATTTATAGTAACATTCCCATAAAAAACTTCAGTCTCACATACATAAAACTGGTGAATAAATTATTACAAATAACTAACAAGGAATATTCTTACAAAGGATGTACTATGTTGCCATCTTGAATTGGCATTGACAAAGTTTTATATTTCTAGGAAGATAGGGTCTGGTAATAACTATTGCATTCAAGACTTTCACAAGAGAGTAGGCAATGGGCAAATATCAAATAGGGAATAGACACACAGCATCTTTCATGGACCACAACACCAGAAATCACAAACTCCATTCAATATGGCCACATTATTCTTGTTTCAACGCATTACAATTTCAAAACCCATCTCAGAACCATTCATTCACCTATTTGGATTCATTCATCAATTTGGAACTATTCTTACAGTAAAAAAGCCAATATTTTCCATTCCAAGCTTAAAAAGATCAATTCATTCATGAACCAACCAACAACTTAGAATAGTGCAAGTGCAAGTGCAAGTCCTAGTCCTAGTAAGGGTATGAGTTCCAACCAATACAAGACGAAAAATTGTGTGATAGTTACCAATTCAAGTAAAATGCAAGTAGAAACTGGATTAGAGGGCAAAAGCTAGCCAGAAAAATCTCATTCAAGTTAAATTCCATAGGGGGACCAAGGATGCTAAAAACCGGGTAAAAGGAAAAATAAAAGCCAAAAATGCTACTAGTAAAATCCAAAACATCTACAAAATAAGGCATGGCGCCTGAAGGAACTATAGCACATAACATAAAAAAAAAAAAAAAAAAAAAAAAAAAAAAAACGGGTAAAAGGAAAAAATAAAATCCAAAAATGCCACTAGTAAAATCCAAAAAACCATCTAACAAAATAAGGGCAATGGCGCCTGAATGGGAACGTATAGCAGCATAAGGTCTATATAAAAAAATAAAAAAAAAAAAAAAAAAAAGATGTGACAAGCTTTATGGCAAATTTTATTTACACAAAGGCTAAACTCAGTAAACCTGGAATAGAAGTTTTCAGTGAAGAGAATTACAAAAAGGCTGGGAGGAGAATGGCACAAGATAAGCTGTAGTTGCATCGGGGAAAACAGATTTTAGAATTTACATTTTTGCTGAACTTGGCCATGTGCAGATACTTATCTTGTTAAAAAAAAAAAAAAAAAAAAAAAAAAAGGATGTGACAAGCTTATGGCAAATTTATACACAAAGGCTAACTCATTAACCTGGAATAGAAGTTTTCAGTGAAGAGAATTTACAAAAAGGCTGGGGAGAATGGCACAGATAAGCTGAGTTGCATCGGGGAACAGATTTAGAATTTACATTTTGCTGAACTTGGCCATTGTGCAGAACTTATCTTGTTATGCTGTATGCGTAAGATTAATAGCTCTGTTCAGTCTCTCAAGAATTCCAGTAGCCTTTCTCATGGCCCTTGAAGTGCCATCTCGAGCTAGTTTGGAGATTGTTTCATGTGCACACTCTTCTTCCCTCACAGCTTTCCAATTGGTTCGATCATACAAACAGATTGTGTGGAGAATGGCAATGCAATTTTCCTTGCTGCGTTCACAAGTGCTCTCCCTGATAATGCGAAGCAAACAAGGAACAGTTTCAAGCTCTCCCATGTCTTCAACAGCTCTTTGATGACTAGAAAGAATAGCAAGGATAGCTAGTAATTCATCGACAAGCACGCCACTCATAATCTTCTTCACAATCACCTTGACTGCACCATCCCTCACAGCTCTTGCCTTGTTTTCATGTATGAAACATAAGGTAAAAATTGCCGAAGCAGCATCTTTCATAGCTAAAGGATTCCCCTCATCTAGAAGGTCTATAAGTGGTTTTAGGGCTCCTGATTTCCCAATAAGTGCCTTGTTGGAATCAAGAGCAGATAATGTGAAAAGGGCTGCAGCTGCATTAGTCCTTGTTTCGATGGTTCCTGACCTTAATGCTTCCATTAGGAGAGGAATTACCACAGGGGTTTCAGCAACAAGCTTCTTGTTGTTATCATGGATCGAAAGATTTAAAAGGGTTGTTATCAAATCTTCTTGAAGATCAGGGTGAATCTCACTTGTGGACTTGCTTGTAGAGAGCGGATTGAGCAATTGAGGAATGGCATCAAGAGATTCGCCAAACAGCGCACGGAATGAGGGCATCCTCTTTGTCAAAAGCCGAAGCTCCTTTGCAGCTTCTTTTTGTTCAGGAATTGTTAACGACATCTTTTCAAGTAAAGACAGAAAATGGTCGCGATCAGCTTCTGTTATTCCTTCCTCATTAACATAGTGAACAGGGTCCTGCAACTCTAATCCTTGACTTCTACACCATTGTGATATCATTTGTCTTATCAAGTGATTTGGTGTAAGGTATGTGTGCGACAGAACTTGCTGAGTTAGAGGGCATGTCCGGTTGCCTCCTTTCAGCCATTTCTGGATGAATGGTCTATCATAAGTCTGCACAAATAGACACACAAACAAAACCAAACAAATCAATGACCAAGAAGCAGCAAATTTAGGACTAACACAGACCAAAATAATATTAAAATTGAAAACCAAAAAACAACATTGAAAAATCACATTAATCAATTGTATCAACAATATCACCAGTAATTATTGCAGATTGTAAGAACATTTCCTCTGTAAGAACATCACCAGAAATTTGTTTCATTATAAAATCGATCAAACCAAACGACATTTAATTTCTGAAAATATAACATAAAAAGCATGGACAGCATCATAAATAAGGGTTTAATCATATGCCAATTTTTAAGAGTCACAGAACCGCCACTTTTCATACTTAAGAAATAGTACAAGCAAAGCATCCATCGCACGTTAATTTCAACAACTGCTAGATTTCAAACCATTCTTAATGGTTATAAGTATTAATAATAAACTACCCAACACAACACATGTCACACATACACAGAAGAAGGGAAAAATCCTTAACCTCTGTTTGGTTTCTGAGAAATGAGAGAGAAAAGAAGGAACTTTTTGATTTCCACTTCACAAAACAGATAAGGAATTCCATTTCATTTCCCACGATTTATGAACATCAAACTGACCGTGAAGTGAAAAGAAAAAAAAAAAACAAAAGGCCTAAAAATGAATAGATAAATTATATAATCAAAATACAGAAAAATTATGCAATTTCACACAAAAACCCAAAGAACTTAAAATCCACTCCTTATATTTCACTTCAAGAATCAATAAGAGTCAGAACCCATCTTCATTAGCCAAAATTATTGTAGATTAATTGACTACTCGCCTAAAAGTGAAAAACTTAAAACACAAAAACAACAATTGCATTTCATTTCATAAACAAATTACCAGCATTTTCTCGGAAAACAAACAGAACCAAGAACCAATCTTTTAACACTTAAATATACAAAACAAACCTCTCCAGTTGCTAAAATGACAGGATCTTTCATCAATTCTTTAGATAACGGACACTTGAACTCCTCAGGAGGACGCAACAAAATTTCACGCAACTTCGGAGACAAGGATCTCTTCTTTATCTTCAATTCTTTTAAAGCAGATAGCGTTTCTTTGGCTTGATCGATTATTTCTATAGGGTAATCCTCATCATCTACAATGGTCCTAACTAGCTTTCGGAGTTCCTTCTTTAATTCAGTCGCCTTGGCCATGACAGTCGGATCGGAATCGAAGACACCGGTCTTGGCCATGGAAAGAAAAATCAAAGAAGGTGATTAAAACAGAGAATTGATGTGCGTTTAATGTTCAGTAAGAGTTGTCGTGCCAAGAATGGTGAGACAGAGAATGAGAAGAATGAGAAGGAGAATGCTCTGTTTCATTCTCTCTCTTTTGTTTTCAATTTTTATGAAAAAATTATCTTTCTTCTCTACTCTGTTTCTCTCTTCTCTTTACATTGCTTTCTATCTCTTTTTTATTTATTTATTTTGTTAATTATTTTTTTTATATGTTTCTTTTCTTTTATTTACTAATTTATTCTCTTTTTCTAATGTCGGTAATTTTATGGACTGAGACGAAGCACAATATAAACTTAAAACTGCTGTCTTTTCTCTGTTTTCAATTATTATTATTTTTCAAATATAAATAAGTAAACCTTCAAAAAAAATATAAATAAGTAACAAATAATTTCGCATCATCGTCCTTCTCCCTCACCCGTCATCACTCATTAGTAAGTCAGTATATTTTCTAATTAGACAATGAATTAAGAGAGATAATTTCACTTTATAAATGAGTAGAAAATAAACGTTTTTGTGAATAATAAATATTAAAATTTTAATAAATATTAAATTTTATTAATTATGCATCATCATAATAAAAAAAATTACAATCAATACCTTATTGGTTGGGGTGATAAACGATCACAATTTTCTTAAATTTATTGATAATGTCAAAAATTTTTACCTTCTATGACTCGAAGGAATTATACGTTATAATTATAGAAAAAAAAAGTACAACAAAATTTAGTAATCTCATATGAAATCTAATATTTAGTATTATCAAAATGGAGAGAATAAATCAAAATTAATAATCTACATGATGAGTATTTATAATTTTTTTAAAAAATAAAGATAGTATTTATAATTCTTTTAAAAAAAGACAGAAAAAAAAGAATAATGAAGAGATTATTAAAAAGATTGATATTATACTATTTGAAATTATTTAAATAATATATGATAATTTAATTATCATTATAATGTTTTTAATATTTGATTATTTTAATTTTTTAAAATATAATTGTAGTTGATTAAATTACTCGTTTATTAATTTTATTATTGATATCCATTTAGTAGAGATATCAAAAGATGAACATAAAATTAGAAAAGAAAATGAATTTTAAAAATTAATAAATGAAGTGAAATGGAAAAAAAGAGTATATTAAAATCACCTGGATGCAAAAAGTAAGTTCTAAAATTTTCTTATTTCCTTTTATTTAAGAGAATGGTCTTTATAAATATTTATTAAACCTATATATTTATCAGAAAATACACCACCATTATCATCATTCAAATACTCAAATAAATAAAATAATTATTTTGTCCACCTATATTAAATAATTCTACAACGTTTAATTATAGATAGTTAATATTTAATAAAGAACGTTGAAAAAATTAAGTAAAAACAATAGTTTATCAAAAATTTTAATCCAGGTAAAAGTTTTTTTTTTTTAGGAAAAGGTAAAAGTTAAATTTTATCATGGCATAGAGTAAACAAATTTAAAAAATTTAACTTTTATACTCCAAGTCAAAGTCGACCAAACTTCAAATTTTGGATATTATACCAAAAATGAATTTTTTTTTTTTTTTCGAAGGGACCAAAAATGAAATTTATTTAACACTAGGAATTTTTCTTTTTAAATTATCCATATAATTTCTATAAAAAAATTAAAATAAAGAAGTAGTACTAAACTACTAATAACATTAAAGGCAAAAGTGAATTATGTAATAATAACTTGAGGATTGAGGAGCAGATGGACCCACATGGTCCAAGATGTAGGCAATCACGGAATCCATGGCATGAACAGCTGGCATTACGCGTGGGCAAAACTTGCTTAGTACTCAGCACTCACCAGTATCCATTAAACTTAGACTGGCGATACAACCATACAAGAGAAGAGAAGTGAAGAGAAGAGGAGTTGTGTTTGCATGCGACAGGTTCTAGAATAATTTATTCTCCCTAGACGTGGCATTCTGAGAAGGACATGTGTAATGTGGCAAAATAAACCAAGAAACGTGCCATGCCTTCCTCACTTTCACTCCAGATCCCAGGATTAGCTTGTCTTTTTAGACGCTTTGCTGATATTGCATTGACCAAACACCCATATTACAACTTTGATGAGGGTACAAAAAACTACCATCTCCCTTTCAATAATACTATTGTCATTTGAAATTTTACATCTTTTAAAAAAATTATTAAATTTATTTAATTTATAATAAATTATTAAGTAACTTGATTATATTATTCTTAATTTATATTAATTTTTTTAAAAAAATTATTAAATTGGAGTAATAATATTGCTATATATAAGGGAAATATGAAAAAAATATTTATCACTCCTTGAAACCACAAATATGATTAGTATTTTGAAACAAACTATTTTTTCAAACGTGACAGGGATTATGGAACGAAAATAATACTTCCTTTGTCAAGTGAATATTCATTAATTTAACTAAATTATCTTTTAAAAAATTATAAAAATAATTATTCATTTAATATAAATAAAGATAAAATTGAAACATGATTATTTTATGATATTTCAAAACAATTTATATTTATGAAGAAAAAAATTATACTAAAACAACTTATCTTTATGGTCAAAATGAGTATATTTCTATTGTCTATACTGTTTAATAATGTAATTTTTATACTATTGTTTTAAAAGTTAAAGGGTAAATTATAAAACATTATTCTTCTTAGCTTGTATTCAAGCAACAGTTTTTTTTATGTAATAGTTAATGTTTGACCTAGTCAAAACCTATATCGGCTATTTATATTATTTAGTTACATAGTGTTTATATTAGCATTTAGAATTTGAAAGAGCGAATTATTAGAAGTTATCCTTTTTGGCCATATTGGTCGACCGTTTTTCATGTAGCAATTAATGTTTTTTATTATTTATAAAGTTCGATGATGGCATCTATATAAATATATAAAAGTTCAACCAAATTTGTAAGGTTTTTTGTTATTTTAAAACTTAATCAGTGATGTGTAATTTTATAATTTTTTTAAATTTTTATTTAATTATGTAATTTGAAGAAATCAAATTATAAAACTTTTTATTTTCTTCATTCAATAATTAATAATCATATAATAAATTTATTTCATTAATAAAAAAAATTCTTTGTTTTCTTTCTTTAGCAATAATTAATAATCCAAATAATAGATTTTTTGTATTAATAATAAAAACTAATCAGTTTTTTCAATAATTAATAACCACACTACAAATTGATGTAACATTTTGTTATTTTATCCTCTAATTTAAAAAAAAAAATCTTAATTCTCTTTTGAGTACTATGTATATAAGTACTATATCTCCTAACTTATTATACAAATTCTTATTTTATATTTTATGTTCAACATATTTATAGATAGTCATAAAAATTTATACCTTGAGTAAAAAGCAATTAGGTTAACGATTCCTGAAGTTTTTTCTTTTTCCATTCAGGTAATTTTATGGTTTGAGTAATTATTTTTAATTTATAAAAGCAATTTATGTTTTTTTAGTTTAGTTAAGAATTTGAGTTTATTGTTTTTAACTTATTAGTGTATAATTCTTCTATCATTTTTAAATTCATAGAAGAAATTGGATTAGTAGTTTTTATTATCAAAATAAAAAAAAAAAAAATTTAATAGTGTAATTTTGAAGAAATCAAATGGCTATAAACCCACAAATTACCCCTTTTTATTTTTCTATCATTCACACTCATATTTGAGAGAATAGATCAATGCTTATACATCAGAGATTAATATCTTTTTTCGATTAATTTTAGCATACAGTTCGAAAAGTAATACCTTAGCTCTCGATCTTTTGTCTGTTTCTCTGTTAAAGCCTAGGATAAGATATAAATATATCCAATATTATACATACTATTTTTTGTTGTCTTGAGAAGAAAATTAACTATATACCAGTGAAAAAACTAATCTTAAGATTATAGGGTATTAGTCATAAGATTTTTAAATCGTGAACGCGACACTGAACAAAATCTCATGAAATATGTGTTAATTACGTATTCTTGTTCTTATATATTATATCCTTATCTTTTTAACTTTTTCATAAATTAGAAATTAAAAATCTATAATCTCTCTCTTTGAGTACTATGGGCTTTATATAAAAAAGCTATTAACAACAACTTATTACACTCCTCGGCATAATTAACTTGAGTGTAATATCAAGTATTCGGCTTCTCTTACAATTTACTTAAAATTAATATATGTGTCTTGATGGTTCAACAATAACATAATATTTATAGATCATGAATCCATTCTAACAGGAAGAGAAATTTATGTGAGACGACTTGCTTGGATTGAGGTAAAAAGCAAAATATAGAGACGGATGGACAAAACCCGTTATATATACCTGATTTTCTTCATGTATAAGCTTATTATATCTTTCTCACCCATTACATTAAACCTGGGAGTAATTTATAATGGTTTGAAAGATAGAATTTAGATTTTTAATTTAATAAAAGCAATTTTATTATTTGTGTTTGTTTTAGTGTGTAGTTAAAGAAGATATTTTAGAGTTTATTGTTTTTTTAGACGCTTGCACTCTAGTATGAACTATAAATATCTTATGCTTGGATATCATTGTGTTTTCTTGTTGGGAAAAAATATATTTTAATATGCGAAGAGAGTAATTACTTGAGGGAAGAAAAGGTCAATTATATTAAAGTGATATCAGAAATACCACAAAAAATAATAGGATTAGGAAAACAAAATAAGCGGAGAGAGGTGGATGACATAGTCAATGATATGTATATTCTGTTTCGAATTTCTTCGATGTTAATAAGTTCTCAGTTAGATATCAATATTATATTGGGTTGCCATATATCCAAAAAATTCTAAAATTATATCATGCAACTTTTATAAGTATATTAAACCCACGCATCGTGCAGTGCGACTCCAGGGAATTGAAACTTACGATGTTTGTTATGCACTAATTAATTAAAATTTGAGATAACAAAATGTTGTTAATTATAGAAAAATCGTGTTTTCTAGTTTACTATAAAAAAAAAAAAAAAAAAAAAAAGAGGTGGATGATAAATATTATATTTCTTATCATATTAATTTATTTATATTTTTCAATCAAATTTAATTTATATCAATTTTTTATAAGTATTAACCCACGCATCGTGCGGGCATATGACTAGTTTATACTAATAATTAAAATTTGAGATAACAAA